CCAAAACGCGAGCCGTCTATAGGTATTCACCTGGAACTGCGCCATAGTACCATAAAGAAGGTAACACGTAGGTCAGCTGCGGCCAAGAGATTTAAGGCACTAGCTCCCGCTCTTATTGGTTAAGTGCTGCTGGAGAGGTTAAAACAACCTTTTATTGGTTTAGAGACAGTACGGACTGTAGATTTTGGAAGCTACAGTCAATAAATGTAGAGCTTAAAAAGAAGCATAGCCGGTCAGACAGCATCCGAGGAACAGGGCAGTCAACGTTTTCAGCTGAAATACATCAGGGCTGGGGGCGAGCCCAGAAATAAGTAGAGGGGTGGGATAGAGATAGGTGCAGGCAGGTAGCGGGTTATTGAATTCTCAGGAAGGGTCACCGGACCCGAAACGTTAACTGTTTTTCCTTCACTGGTCTGTTTTTCGGATGCGGTAGGGGGAGGGTACTGCATCCCAAAACCAGACCAGCTCGTCCCCGCCTCCCTAACCTGTTCTGCCTCCCACCTATCCCCTCCTCCCACCTCAAGCCGCACCCCCATCTCCTACCTACTAACCTCATCCCGCCCCCTTGACCTGTCCGTCCTCCCTGGACTGACCTATCCCCTCCCTAACTCCCCACCTACACTCACCTTTACTGGCTCCATCCCCGCCTCTTCGACCTGTCTGTTTCCTCTCCACCTATCTTCTCCTCCATCCATCTTCTATCCGCTTCCCCCTCTCTCCCTATTTATTTCAGAACCCCCTTCCCCTCCCCCTTTTCTGATGAAGGGTCTAGGCCTGAAACGTCAGCCTTTCTGCTCCTATGATGCTGCTTGGCCTGCTGTGTTCATCCAGCTCTGCACCTTGTTGTCTAGGATTCTCCAGCATCTGCAGTTCCTGCTATCTCTAAGCCTGAATATTAACTTCACCAGCTTCAAAATCTCTCCACCCCCAACCTGTCCATCTTCTGACTCAACTATCTGCTCCACCTTTCCCACTGACCGACCACAATAACCCGGTACACAAACAAAGTTGCTGGAAAAGCTCAGCAGGTTTAGCAACAGCTGTGAAGCTATAAGGATGAATTCAAGTATGTTCTTCCCTCTTATTGGTTCCTTCACCACCTGCCACACACCCAGTCTAGCAGTTACGTCCTTTAGGACCTGACCAGCTCGATCAGTAGTACTGCTGCCAAGCTACTCTTGGTGGTGGACATTGAAATCCCCCACCCAGAGGACATTTTGTGCCCTTGCCATCCTCAGTGCTTCCTCTAAGTGTTGTTCAACATGGAAGAGTATGTATTAATTAGCAGGAGGTTTCCTTGTCCATGTTTAACCTGCAGCTGTGAGACCTCATGGGGTCCGGAGTCAATGTTGAGGACTCCCAGAGCAACTCCTTACCAATCTGCCAGCTGCAGTTGCATCTGTCCATGACAGTATTGGTAAGAGTGACCACCCCACAGTCCTTGTGGAGACAAAGTCCTGCCTTCACATTGAGAATAACCTCCATCATTTTGTGTGGCACTATCTTCGTGCTAAATGGGACAAATGTCACACAGATCTACCTACTCAAGATTGGCATCCATGAGGCACTGTGGGCATTAACAGCAGCATAATTGAACTCCAGAATGATCTGTAACCTCATGGTCTGGCATATCCCCCACTCAACCATTACCATCAAGCCAGGGGATCAACTCTGGTTCAATGGAGAGTGCAGGAGGGCATGCCAGGAGCAGTACCAGGCACACCTGAAGATTATGTGTCAAACTGGTGAAGCCACCAAAAGGACTACTTGCATGCCAAACAGCAAAAGTAACAAGTGATAGAGCTACGCAATCCCACAACTAAAAGATCAGATCTAAGCTCTGCAGTCCTGCCACATCCAGTTGTGAATAGTGGTGAACAATTACACAACTCACTGGAGGAGGAGGCTCCACAAATATCCCCATCCTCAATGATGGAAAAACCCAGTACCTCTGTGCAAAAGATAAAGCTAAAGCTTTCGCTGCAATCTTCAGACAGAAGTGCCAAGTGGATGATCCAACTCTGCCTCCTCCAATGGTCCCCAGCATTACAGATAATAGTGTTCAGTCAATTTGATTCACTCCACATGATATCAAGAAATGGTTGGAGACACTAGAAACTGTAAAGGCTTTGGGTCCTGACAACCTCAACCTCTCTGCACACCTCCAGTTCTGTCCTCTGTCTGTACCTGATTTTGATCAGCTCACCATTGGCAACTGTGCCTTCCCTAAGCTCTGCAAATCCTTCCCTAAACCTCATTGCTTCAATGTCCTTCTTTAAGATACTTGCTAAAAGCTATCGCTTTGACCAAGCTCAGCAGGTCTGGCAGCATCTGTGAAGGAGAAAACAGAGTTAACCTTTCGAGTCCGGTGACCCTTCCTCTGAGGAAGGGTCACCATTTCTCTGAGGAAGGGTCACCGGACTCGAAAGGTTAACTCTGTTTTCTCCTTGATAGAATCTGCCAGACCTGCTGAGCTTTTCCAGCAACTTTGTTTTTGTTCCTGATTTACAGCAGCCGCAGTTTTTTTGGCTTTGACCAACGTTTTGGTCACCTATCCTAGGATGTTCAGATGTAATTTGATGTCGGATTTTTTTTTTGATAACCACTACTGTTAGACAGTTGGGGCATTTTACTTTGTTAAATATGCCATGTAGCTATAATTTGGTGTAGTCCCTGATGATGCTGGCCAACCTACAGTCCAAATCAGAGGTTGCTTGAGCTGATGCTTAACGATCATGTTTGGGTAGAAAATCTTTATTCTGAACAGTAGGGCATGGGGCTGGAGTCCCAATTTGATCATCATGGGTGGAAGGGGTTTAGGTGGTCATAGGCTTTGTGTCACCCGCAAACTCGCGTTATCGATTGTTCGGATTAAGTGATCGGAATGTAAGAATGACAGAACAATGGTGTGTCTAACTGCCAGACTGGAAAGAACAGACAGTCCCTCTGGGATGGGGGGGTTGTGTGTGGCGCTGGGGGGTGTGGAGGGCAGGGGCAGAGAGGGTGACAGAGAATGTAACAAGCAAAGCTAAAAGAATGGGAAGGAATAGGTTCACAGTTTGAAGGTGTTGAACTCAATTTTGACCCCAGAAGGTTCTGGACTGTTCTGACCCAAAACTTGTTAAGAGGTGCTCTGCCAGAACAACAGGGAGAAACATTGATTGTGTATTTCCTGGTTTTGGCCAGCCCATTTTGCAATACTGAGTAATCGTATCTTGGAAAGAAGACAACCTGGCCTAAGCCCATCATGCACTGTGACCCTTGCCTTGTGGTTCCCTTGTCTGAAATCAGAATATTCCAGAAGGTTTCAGAAAGGGGGTATAAGAAGGCACACCTGGTGGCCATTCCTTCAGTGAAGCCTTGGCTGGCAATGACTATGTGAGACCCACCTTTTTACAAAGACGACCCCGAATACACCGTCGATGAAGTTCAGTGAATTGGATCCAGCAGCCCAAACAAGTCCACCAGAGTGGGTAGTATGTGTCTTTTTCAGGCAGTCTGCCTAGTTTGGGAAAAGTTAACCTAATTTGTGTCAGAGTTGTTTTCTTTAATTTGTCAGTGTTTTAATAAAATTAAATTCAAACTACTGTCCTTTGTTTGTCATACAGTAACACCTGAGTAAACACATTTTAGAGTATAAACTGGTTAGTGTCTATAGAATATCTCACAGACACCTTTTAATTAAGGAAAATTGACGTTTCGGGTTGGGACCCTTGACCCAAAACATCAACTTTCCTGCACCTCTGATGATGCCTGGCGTGCTACGTTCCTCCAGCTCCACACTGTGTTGTCTCTGACTCTAGCATCTACAGTTCTTGAGGGATGTTTAACTCCTGCTTTATTTAAAACGTCCAGAAACTGAAATATTCTGCTTTTCTATTCTTCTAACTACACCAACGCAAGGACAGGGTGATCTTCTCTTCCTCCCTTTAGTATTTGTGGAGTATTTAGAATCTCTGATGACTTAGAGGACAGTCTATCCTGATTTTCTCTTACTTAATCCAAATCCTTACCAAATTCTAAAGCAAATTACAACTAAGGGAATAATTCTGCAGTGTTCAGTTATTCCATCGGTAAAAAAGTTCCACAATCAACTTGCATTTATATGACACATCTAATGTAGAAAGATGTCCTATAACAATTCAGAGGAATTGCAGAAACAAAAGTTAATGTTTTTCATGGATAGTAGGAACTGCAGATGCTGGAGAGTCTGAGATAACAAGGTGTAGAGCTGGATGAACACAGCTGGCCAAGCAGCATCAGAGGAGCAGGAAAGCTGACGTTTCGGGCCTAGACATGGTATTGTGCACCCAGCTAATCTTTATATTGTAGGAATTAACATCCAATTCAATTGGTGCATCAAATCTCACTTTACCATCTCATCCAAAGGTGGCACACCTCTGATAATACAGTACTGTATCAAAGGATTAGCCTAGATCATGTGTTAAAATTCCAGAGTAGGGTTTGAATCCACAATTTTGAATCAGAGTGGCTAATCCTTTAACTGTTTACAAATGTGGCAAATCTGGTACTGGATCTTGGGTTGATGAACAGTTGGGCTTTAGTCATGTGAATAGGTATGACAACTCATTCAATCTGTGAATGATAGCTGCAAAAGCTGAAAATAATTACAAAGCATAACAAGACAAGACACTTGCAGCATACAATAAACTACCAGCCACAAACACCAAAACAATTCTGAAAATGTTGCATGGCACACATGGAAAGTGCACTCCATTTATTGGCTGGTGGCCAGAGCTAGCATAGAAGCACAGAGTGCCTCAGGTGACTGATGTATGATGATGTTGGTGAGGAGTCACGATTGTTTATCAAGTGTTGATCAGTTGAACCTTAGTAAAACAGCTCAGTGGATAACTACAGCAGAAGCTGTCCTGGTGTGCTGTCAGACACTAAAAGAGCAAAAAATGGCAAGGCTAGATCAAGATGCCAGTCCATCCTTTCAGCTCTGTGAAGGTATACATATATGCTTATACAGTTACTGGCCACGTACTGTATATTTTATTAATCAGGAAACCCTTCACAGTATTGATCAATTCTCTTTAAAAACACACATCATCCACTTATACAGCATTTACAATCTGGCTGATTTTTGCAGGAGTGCCTGCATCACTGACAGGTTATTGGCTCCTGTAAGCCAATGTCCACCATCGATTATGAGCGTTGCACCAGTCACATATGATGCTGCTGGGCTCACAAGATACAACACGCCATGGGCTACTTCTGACTTTGTCCCAACTCGTTGCAGCGGAATCAATTTATCCTGGCCTGCCACAGCCTTTGTCAAACCACCTGATGAGGGAACAAGCCATAAAAGAGGATTAGTAGAAAAGCAATCCTATGTGCACATGATTTGCCTGTTTTACAACACTGTTGACATCTACAGGCCCGATTATCAAAACATAACCTCAGCAGAGATACATACCCAATTTCCGAAAGCCTTCAGTTCCATATATTGGGCCAGGTGCCAGACTATTAACACGAATGTTGTCAGGTCCCCATTCTACTGCTAGGTGTCTTGTCATTGCATCTGTAAAGCAGATTGAGATTAATCAACAATGATTATACTTTTCCCCAAATCACAAAAAGTAGAACTTCTCAATTCCACTGGACAACAGCGTAGGTTTCATCTTTAATGAACAACTTCCTATGTTGATAAAGATTCCAGTTTATGCAGAGTGCATGGTTTAGTTGCAGGACACTGTCAATCCTGCAAGCCTAAACTGAAAGGTAAGAGAAATGTGATCTATATGGACTTCAGTAAGGCATTCAACAAGGCTCCTCATGGCAGACTGGTTAGCAAGGTTAGACCACACCGAATACGGGGAGAACTAGCTATCTGGATACAGAACTGGCTCAAAGGTACAAGACAGAGGGTGGTGGTGGAGGGTTGCTTTTCAGACTGAAGGCCTGTGACCAGTGGCGTATCACAAGCATCACTGTTGGATCCACTGCTTTTTGTCTTTTATATAAATGATTTGGATGTGAACATAGGAGATATGGCTAGTAAGTTTGCAGACAACACCAAAATTGGTGGTGTAGTGAACAGAGAAGAAGATTACCTCAGGGTACAATGGGATCTTGATCAGAGGGGCCGATGGGCAATGGAGTTTAATTTAAATGTGAGGTGCTGCAGTTTGGAACAGGGCAGGACTCATACACTTAATGGTAAGGTCCTGAGGAGTGTGGTGAACAAAGAGACCTTGGAGTGCAGGTTCATAGTTCCTTGAAAATGGATTCACAGTTCCTTGAAAATGGATTCACAGGCAGATAGGTCACCTTTATTGGTCAGTGCATTGAGTGTAGGGGTTGGGAGGTCATGTTGCAGCTGTACAGGACACTGGTTTGGCCATTTTTGGAGTATTGCATGCAATTCTGGTCTCCCTCCTATAGGAAGGATGTTGTAAAATTTGAAAGGATTCGGAAAAGATTTGAGTATGTTCCCAGGGTTGGAGGATTTGAGCTATAGGGAGAGACTGAATATGCTGGGCTATTTTCCCTGTAGTGTTGGAGGCTGAGGAGTGACCTTATAGAGGTTTATAAAATCATGAGGGGCACGAATATGGTAAATAGGTAAGATCCTTTCCCCGAGGTGGGGAAGTTCAAAACTAGAGAGCATAAGTTTAAGGTGAGAGGGGAAAGATATAAAAGGGGCCTAAGGGGCAACTTTTTCATGCACAAGTTGGTGCATTTTCGGAATGAGCCGCCAGAGGAAGTGGAGGAGGCTGGTACAATTACAACATCTAAAAGGCATCCCGATGGGTATATGAATATGACGAGTTTACAGGGATATGGGCCAAATGCTGGCGAATAGGACTAGATTTATATAGGATATCTGCTGGGCATGGACAAGTTGGACCAAAGGGTCTGTTTCTGTGCTGCACATCTCTATGACTCTATGTGTTCCTGGTTGGCAGGTGTGTGAGGGATGAACAATACCAGCAGACTCTCCTTCCAGTGGTCCCCTTGTTTACAGACAATGATAGTGAACTCTGTTCAAGGATGCAAGTGATCTTATTAGTTATTGTGCAGCAAGTCTACATGGAGAAATGGAAATTGCACTTGTACTTGTACTTTCTCAGGTTCAAAGTCACTCAGTCGGACGACATTGTCAAGAGAAATTCCCCCTTGTGGGGCTGTGGTATGTCCCTTTTAGAGGTACAGTTAAGAGGGTTGCCAGCACCCTCTCTCTCATGTACACTAAATATGCTTTAGCATCCGCTCAGTTTGAATTAAAAAGCATCGTGACCCCTTATCACAAAATTAGAATTTAACATCAACGTGTATTGTGAACCAGCTCCCCCTAGAGGGACTGAATAGGAGAATCACCAGGCGGCTGGCACTTTGACATGCACCTGGTGCATCTACTGCAGACACCAAAACAGGTTCTATTAAGACTGTAAGAAATTGGAACAGGAGCAGGCCATTTGGCACTTCCAACCTGCTCTGCCATTTAATAGGATCATAGCTGACCTGACATTCCTTATACCTTTCCTGCGTTTTCCTTGATTGTAACCCTTGATTCCACACTGATCAATAATCTATCTCAGCCTTAAATATACATAAGGACTATGCCCTCACAGCTTTCTCTGGCAAACACTCAACCCTGAGAGAAGAAATTCACCCTATTGTCTTAAGTTGGCACTATTCTTTTTTAAAACTAATTCTATGTATAATAGAAAATAAGTCACATGTACATTTTAATTTTTGATAACAGTTGCATCTGTGTTATTGGTCTTTGAACTTCAAGTCTTAATTTAAGGGTCACTGCATGGCTTTCCTGTGCTCAAACTGTCACAAAGAAAAGCTTGAAGGTAGAAGACAGAGGGTGGTGGCAGAGGGTTGCTTTTCAGACTGGAGGCCTGTGACCAGTGGTGTGCCACAAGGATCTGTGCTGGATCCACTGCTTTTCATCAGTCATATAAATGATTTGGATGTGAACATAGGAGGTACGGTTAGTAAGTTTGCAGATGACACCAAAATTAGAGGTGTAGTGGACAGCAAAAGAGGTCAGCTCAGAGTACAATGGGTTCTTGATCAGATGGGCCAATGGGCCAAGGAGTGGCAGATGGAGTTTTATTTAGATAAGTGTGAGGTGCTGCATTTTGATCAGGTAAATCAGGGCAGGACTTATATTCTTAATGATAAGGTCCTGATAGTGTTACTGAACAAAGAGACCTTGGAGTGCAGGTTCGTTGTTTCTTGAAAGTGGAGTTGCTGGCAGGTAGGAGAGTGAAGACGTTTGGTATGCTTGCCTTTATTGGTCAGTGCATGGAGTATAGGAGTTGGGAGGTCATGTTGCAGCCTTACAGGACATTGGTTCGGCCACTTTTGGAATGCTGTGCGCGATTCTGGTCTCCCTTCTATGTGAAGGACGTTGTGAAACTTGATAGGGTTCAGAAAAGATTTATAAAGGATGGGGCTAGGGATCGAAGGTTTGAGCTACGGGGAGAGGCTGAATAGGCTGGGGCTATTTTCCCTGGAGCGTTGGAGGCTGAGGGGTGACTTTGAGGTTTATAAAATCACGTGAGGCATGGATAGGGTAAATAGACAAGGTCTTTTCCCTGGCGTGGGGGGAGTTCAAAATTAGAGGGCATAGGTTTAAGATGAGAGGGGAACGATTTAGAGGGAACATAAGGGATAACTTTTCTACGCAGATGGTGGTGCGTGTATGGAATGAGCTGCCAGAGAAAGTGGAGGAGGCTGGTACAATTATGACATTTAAAATGCATCTGGATGGGTATATGAATAGGAAGGGTTTAAGAGGGATGTGGACAAAATGCTGGCAAATAAGACTAGATTTATCTAGGATATCTGGTCAGCACAGACAGGTTGCACCAAAGAGTCTATTTCCATGCTGTACATCTCTATGACTCCACTCCCTCCTTACGTGACCATTCGTGGAGACTAGACGATGAGTGGGAAGGACATCAACAAATACAATCCAATCCTTGCCCACAGTTATGTATAGAATTTACAATTAGTTTCAATTCACTGTCACTTCACGGACATCAGGAGAGGTAAGTCCAACTGGTTTTTCACCTAAGCAAGGCTAGGGAGGATAGTGTATAGATTTGTTGCAATTTCTAAGCTATATCATTTTCATGTTTGATGGAATGTCCAGCATCTTTAGAACTGGAAGAGAAAAATGCAACATTGGAATAAAAATGGATAATGTCAGAAATTCATGTCATCAGACAAATATGGTTGTAACTTGCACCAGAATTAAAAACTGGACAGCAAACATGACTTATGACGACATGAAACTAAATTTTAGCATGCCTTTTAAAAAGTACTTGGATGGACACTTGAAGTGTCGTAACATTCAATGTTATGGGGCTTGTGAGACAAGGTGGGACAAGCATAGGTAGTAGTATATTTTTGGTGGTACAGACTCAGTGGGCCAAAGGACTTCTTCTGTACTTTATGATTCTACGCTGCAGCACTACTGTTTCTCCTTAACCATGCTACCAACCTTCATCTGTTCTTCCTTTCCTATCTTTCATGACCACCTTGTAACCAGGAATGTTTGATATTCAGTCCTGCCTTTCCTTGATCCATATAAAGTCATTGCCACAACACCATAATTCCACATGGAAGTCTGCACCTGTAACTCACAAACCTTATTTACAATAATTCATGCATTGCAATGCTGACAGACTTTTTCTTCATTTCAGGAATTTAACTTATTAACTTACTATTCACTATTCTAATGTTCTCTCTCTCTCTCCCAGTGTTTGTTCATCCCAGTATTATTCTTTGTTAGAATATCCTAGTTCCCACATTCCTGTCAAGTTATGCACCTCTTCCCAACATCACTCACAACATGTCCCACAAGGAACTCAGTTGTGGCACTGTTCTGGTTCATAAGAGATATGATGTAAGGTTAGACAGGTTGCACCTACCTGCCGGGCTTTTAAAAAAGAAGGGAAGTGATGTTTTTAGAGACATATAAATTGCTGGGACGGGGGGGGAAGAGATGCTGGAGGTAGAAGGGTGTGGATGATGAAAGAAGTTTTCCATATTCTGGGAGACTAGAAGTAGGGGACTCGGTATAAAAATAAGGGGCCTCCTATTTAAGATGAGAATCTTTCTTCTAAGTATCATTTCTCGGTGGAATACTCTTACTTAGATGCAGGTCGTTGATTTTTTTTTAAAAAAAGAGACAGTTAGATAGCTTTTTGACTAATAAAAGAATTAAAGGATCTAGGGGGAGACAGGAAAAGTGAAGTTGGAGGTACAATTGGATCAGCCAAGGTCTTATGAAATGACAAAGTGGTCTCGAACATAAGAAATAGGAGCAGGAGTAGGCCTGTCAGCCCTTTTGAGCCTGCTTGCCATTAAGATCATAACTGATCTTGTATTTCAACAACATTTTTTTGCACTATCCTCATGTCCCTTGATGTTTTTAATATGTAGAAATCTATCAATCTCCATCTTGCACATACTCAGTGACTGAGTCTCCACATATTCTATATTCAAATTGTCTTGTAATAAGGCCAACACACTATGTGCCTCCTTAATTGCTTG